TGTGATGTGTGTGTGTGTATGTGTGTGTGTGTGTGTGTGAGTGTATGTATGTGTGTGTGTGTGTGTGTATGTGTGTGTGTGTGTGTGTGTGTGTGTGTGTGTGTGTGTGTGCGTGCGTGCGTTGAAAATGGGTCTTTTTAATGTGTTTTGCTGCCCTATCGATACAATTCAGATATTATAGGATGGCGGGCCTCCGACCCTGCCTGTCAAAGCCAATCGGGGGGGGGGGGGGGGGAGGAATACAACAACCCATCAAAAGGACAGAGGATACTCTGAAGAAAATTCTCCACCATGGACAAAGCGGACTTGGGTCTTCTGCGTGCGCACGCAAAGTGCCTAACCCCTACACCACAGACGCTGATTGACAGGGGATCAATACCAGACACAAAAATTTATATGAATGTCTTTTTTCCTCACTAAACATTAAACTATTCAATAAACAAAACAAAAAAGCCGTGGTGTTGTTGATAATGAATGTCCACGTTCATAATCATGCACGTATCTTTAAAAGTATATGGCCGGAGCACCAACTTGACCCCGCTACAGACACCACTTCATGCTTTTCTGGGCCAACTTGAGCATGGACTGAGTGATTATTTTGGACATAAGCATCTGTCTTATTAAACAGAGTCCACGAAACTGACACGGTTTGGGGTAGCCTGGTTAGAATGAACAAATCCAAAAGCGTGAGAATCAACGGAAGGCCTCGTTTCGGGCAAATTATTGCGCAAGTGCGGAACGTCACGGCGTATCCTTATTTTCGTCAACGTGTCATTCAAGTAGACATACTTTGTCGTGCGATACTTGCTGTAAGTCGTGTGTTTTAAATGTTGAGTGACTAAACCATCCATCATCAGGCTAGGTCATTCCGCGTCGTCTTTGAGCACGTAGTTTGCAGTTTTAACTCTCTAAAAACGTAATTTGCAGCTTTATCTCTTTCAGGACGTCCTTTGCAGCTTTAACTCTTTAACCCTATCCGTACGTCATGTTTTATTATCGTATCCATACGACATGAGGAACTCTGTGTCACCACTTTCCAAAGAGGAAATTTACTCGTTAATCCGATCCATACGCTTTGAATAGCAATTTGTCAAAACGATTCTTAGAGAAATACTGAAAGTTTCAAAGATATCTTCGTACTAGAAGTATTCTTAAATGTGAAGAATACAACCCCGGGGGTAAAAAATGACCCCACAGCGTACAGATAGGGTTAAGGACGTCATTTGCAGCTTTAAGTCTTTAAGGACGTAGCAGATGATATTATGTCCCATCTTCAGCAGACCAACGTCAATGTTGTGACACATTTTTTAAACCATTACACATAAATCAGAAGCACAAGTTTACACATTTTAAAATATGCACGAAGTCGCCTGCCTATTTAAGTTTTAGAGAAAGGAAACAGAATTGAAAGATCGGTATGAATAATCTAGATATTTTTCTCTTTGTTACAATGCCCTCAAACAGCGTGTCTCTAAACGTTGTCGAAAGCCCAGAATGTGCGCCTTCAGTGAGTTCATTTCTGTGGAGTAAGTGTACGTCCCAATCCACACAGTTTAGGTCGACATAGGAGGACTCAGGCTGGGCTGCTGCACCGACCCTGCCTGTTAGGGCAGTCAATCCGATTTGATTTGGATGATAATATAACATCCTGACAAAGATAATATGAAGATACTAGAGGAAACAGGTTTTCCACGCAAGGGATTAGACCTCATGTCTTTAGCGCGCTTTAGCAAAGAGCCGAACAACCTCTACACCACAGACACCAGTTCATGCTTTTCTGGACCAAAAAAAAGTGTTATTTTACAGGTGGACACAGGGCATCAGCCTTAATGAAAGGACATGTACAATGAATCACTTTCCATTTCTCTTTTAGCCTCAGCTCGGTCGACGTTGTGTCCTTGGGAAAGACACTTTACACCAAGCTCCCACTTGGCTCGGTCTTTTCGGAGATTAAACGTTAAACTCGGAGGTCCCTCTTTTTAAATGAAATAACCTAATAGTGTTGGTAGGGGGGGGGGGTAAACTGATACCATTTCACTATTTTCACTTCTCCCTTGCTTCTTTTTAAATATATTTTTGTACAACGACACTCTCCTAGACGAACTTTTGACACTTTTGAGGAGATCAGTGCTCCTCTTCGACTGCGTCGTAATAATAGCAGCAATAATAGAAAAAGAAAAAAAAAGATAATACATATAGCATGTAAGGGGGGGGGGGGGGAGAAGTGGCCGTCGGCACGAGTGGTTGTCTAGGACAGGTGGTCGTTAGTGCAGGTTTGACTATATAGAAATATTGAATTAAAAATATATATAAATCAAAATTAACACAGCAAAATGTAGTAAGTTTTTTTTTATTCTTTAAAAATCATTTGCAAGTGAGCTTTGACAAAAGCAATTGTCATACTTTAGTGAACTGGGCGCAGCAAGGTTAAAAAACAAAGCAAACAAATAATAATAATTTTTAAAAAAAGCTTTAGAAAATTTTCCTGAAACAAAGTTCAGTCCACCAGAGATGGCTACTGCTTCTCCGGGTATCCAGATTTCTTCCTAATATTCTAACGCAAATGAAGACCACAAGGAATTAACTTTGCTGGTGACGTCACAGTTACAAAAAACCCCCCAGAACGTTTAAATCAAGAGACATTCTGTTTGTTTCGTGTGTAGCATTTTGAGAAGTTTTGCGTTCTGCTGTTGAACTATTATTTTAGTAGTTATTTTAGACAGATTTCATCTTTCAAAGTCACCATTGTATTAGACAGAGGAGGATTTTAAAAAAAAAGGACTGTGATTTGTGAACATCACCAGTTTCCCCCCTTTGTAGTCTTCAAATGTCGTTTGTTTGCCAAAATGGATGTCGGCGTCTTTCGCTAATCCCCGCAACTCCTTTCATTAAGGCTGATGCCCTGTTTATTTGTCTGCCCGCTGTTCATGTTAACTGTCTCCCCTGTCGCGAGCCTCTCCCTGTCTTCTATTTCTGTTCATTTCTGTAATTGTGGTGACAAACTCTTCTCTGACTGCCACAACTGATCTAGATGACCATAGAAGGAGCAACAACAAGTCACCTTAACCTTTATTTCTTGTTGAAACTTCAGGGTAAGGAAGGAGAGTCGTGATTGATTTTCAGCCAGTAAACGTAGATGCCACCCTACCACAAATGCCGAAGGCCCACGAAGTTGCCTCACAAACATGGCAATCCCCAATGTCCGGATCAGATGCGGGAACAACTTAACTTTTAAACGTAGATGAAAATTTTAAAAAGAAAGATAGAAGAAGAGCTTATTAAAATGGCTCAACGTTTCGCCTCAAATTCTTCCTCGGGAGCAACTGGGAGTAAAACTAGAGACAGCGCTGCGTATTATGTATCAAGGAAATGGGCCTAACAATGGGGGTCTTCGCTTTAGGAATACAATAATAATATAATGTACTTTCTCCTGTAGACGGGCTCGTGGTCGTCACAAACTGGCGGGCTGACTGCTGCATTAAATCATTGTTATTGTTACTGTTGATGTTATTGTTACTGTTGTCAATGTTGGTGTTATTGTTACTGTTGTCACTGTTGGTGTTATTGTTACTGTTGGTGTTATTGTTACTGTTGTCACTGTTGGTGTTATTGTCACTGCTGTCACTGTTGGTGTTATTGTTGCTGTTGGTGTTATTGTTACTGTTGTCACTGTTGGTGTTATTGTTGCTGTTGGTGTTATTGTTACTGTTGTCACGGTTGATGTTATTGTTACTGTTGTCACTGTTGATGATATTGTCACTGTTGTCACTGTTGGTGTTATAGTTACTGTTGGTGTTATAGTTACTGTTGGTGTTATAGTTGTTACTGATGAAGTTTTTGTTGTTACTAGTGATGGTACTGGCCTTTTCACTACTGTTTGGTTCTGTTCAAGTCTTGTCCTGAAGTGTTGGTAGTTGGCCGGTGCTCTGGCACGGTTTTCTTCTTCTTTCTATACGAAGATCTGTCGTCTTTATCTCTTGTCCCGACTTCTTCTTCTTTTTTTTGTTACTCGTTTGAAACATATCTAATCTTTGGCACTTATACAACCTATGTGTTTTGCACGTGCCGTAAATCTCTCACTAAAACTTTTGAACCAAAGTCTGATAATGGTGCTGGCTTTGTCCGCCTTTGTCTGATTCTGTTCACGTCAAGTAATGAGACTGCTCTGATCCCTGATGTCTTTCTTCTTGGACGCTCAGTCTATTGTATTGTCCAAAGGGAGTGGGAAAGGAAAGAGGAGGAGGAGGAGTCAATGAGTGTGGCTTGATGGAACAGTTCTGACGTCAGCACTATGAGTGCCTCAAATCGTGCTCAACAACAGTGTGCGCGTGTGTGTGCGTCAATGTGCGTGTGTGCATGGGCATGATTGTGTGTGTGTGTGTGTATGTGTGTGTGTGTGTGTGTGTGTGTGTGTGTATGTGTATGTGTTTGTGTGTGTGTGTGTGTGTGTGTGTGTGTGTGTGTGTGTGTGTGTGTGTGTGCCGGGAGGGGGGGGGGGTATTGTTTAGAGAGTGATCGCGACGAAGAAGAAAAGCTGCTTATCCTACTGCGTGACTTCTAAATCCCGGGTAAGATGTTTCCCCTCATTACCCTGATGTGCTTTCTTGCATTGTATAGTCGGAAGCAAAAACTGAGGAGGAATTGGGGTGGGTGGGGAGAGGGGGGGGGGTGGCGAATGCTCAGGTATGGTTTGCTCCATCTTTCCAAGCAAACATCTATTATCATTATCTCTCCTCCTTCTTTTCTTTGTATATTTCTCTCTAGTAACACTTCTAATCTGTGGCACTTATATAACTTGATTCTATTTCAAGTGCCGTGAAAACGCTCACTAAAACAAAAATAAATTTAAAAACGTTGTATGTCTGTGCATCCAGTTGACAAGACGAACAATCTTAGTGGTGTGGAGACATGTTTCTAGATGACCAATGCACGTTGTTTGCCCTAGATCAACACGATATGTTCACACACACACGAAAAAACAACAAAACAAACCCAGAGTGTGCTCTAAATTCTGAACACAGGCAACTGAGTACTTATATTCTTTGACCCTTTGATCTTTAACACTAAAAACTGAGGGGTTCCTTATTTCCCCGCAAGCTCTAACTCTGTCTACATAGCATTGGAAGAACAAATTTTACATGGACGAATATAACGATTATTTCTTCTCATTCTTTTCTTTCCAAATGTAATCTTACACTTTTTGAAGTGACAACACAGCTTAATGTTGAAACACTGCCAAAAGTTTACAGACTTCTGCCATATCTAAGCAGGGTGCCACCTCCCTTTTCCAACTTCCGGTTGGGGACGAGTTTCGTGCCGAAGGGAGAGAATCTGGCCTGCACGGAAAACCTGCTGAAGCCTCGCTTCCGGTTCGGGCTTATCCTCGACTCCAAACGCTGGATAACTTCGGAAATGACGTCCTCGGCTTGCTGTTTCGTCATACCCCGCTCGTAGAGAACTTGTCTGAGTACGTCGTGGAGGGTGAAGGAGGGCACGCGGGTGAGGACTGAGTCCTGTATGGGCAGGTCCGACAGCTGGAGAAGTTTCTGCAGCGATTTCCTGAGCTCGAGGTACGAGTGGTCAGCCGGATCGCCTGCCTGGTCTGCCTCGTCCAGCTCTGATGTGGAGAAGGCGTGCAAGCTGGGGACCATGGACACCAGTACAGCAGACATTGCTAAGGCGAGGAGGGTCTGACGAAGACAAAAGGAAGAATGCATTAAATAATATTTAAAAGAGAAACGAAACCTTTTGGAATATGAATGTTTTACTTTAGCTTTGATCTTGTGCAAGAAGGTTATATTTAGTACTAGAGTTCGTGGCACCGATCTCCCCCCCCCCCCACATTAACGAACAAGGGCTGCATCTACCCACTCTGGACGCCGAACTTCAAGGAGGGCAAGATATGCGCACTTCAACAGACGCATGAGTACTTTTGGAGACTCACATAGGGGCGTCTCGGTGCTTTAGGGGGAAGTCTACACGCTTGCACTGAAATATGTGGGCAGGGTGGTATTTAATACACTAGAGCTCGTAGGGAGCAGGGTGGGGGCTCAGATTGTTTATGTAAATGGGGGAACACCGGACATGCCGATGAGGGTAAGAAGACCCCCTTGTCTGACACGTGTGACGTCACTGCTGTGAGCTCTAGCATTATATATAATTCCTTTGGTTCTGGTGAGACAAAAAAGACAAACCCTGCTTAATGGAACAAAATAATATATGAAGATACAATATTTTGGCCACAACACGAGACAACTGTGAGAGAGGTATTCGAAGGAATGATGTGGGGCAGGAGATCCAGGGGTAAACAAAGAGTAACGTGGATGGACAACATAAAAACATGGACTGGCCAGGATATGGCAGAATGTGTAACCGCAGCTCACGACCATGAAAGATGGAGGGTCATTACACGTCAAACTCTGGGTCAGAGATGACACTAAGGTATCCAGGTACAATTACGTCATATGAGTGCCGAAGGTTACATGTGTTACTCGAAACAGTTTGCAAAGAAAAGTAAGGGGAGAGATCATGACGATAGATGTTTGGTAGAAAAAAGGAGCAAACCACATCAGAGTTTGTTTGCTTGTTCATTTGTTTGCGGAAAGAGAGGCTCCTTGACAGAATAATGGTCATTTGGTGTTGCGAAAATGTAAAACAGATGGAGAGATACAAGAGACGGAAAGTAAAGAAGTAGGACCCATCGGGCCTGCTGCCAACCACCCACACTAAAAAGCTGCACAACAAACTTTCCACAGGGCCCACCTTAGGTTTATTTCAAAATAACTGAAACTATGATGAAATGAGGAAATGACAATTAAACAGGATGCTCTTCTATTCGTACAATGTGGATGGATGACTAGACGCCA